CCCAGTCACGCTACCCACAATAAACCTGTACTCTGGAATAAGCGTCAATGACTACGGAAAACCTAAATTAGACTCTAATCTTAAGCGTCAGGAATCATTGAAATGTTCGAAAATTATGCCTTAATTTAAAATTAAATGGTATATCTTTTTCTGAAATATGTGGTGGCTACTTGGTTTGTGAAAGTTTGGGGTGCGGCTTATATTGCAGACTTTTTCCTGGGATCAAAACTTGTCAATTTCAACATGAAACAATGTCTCAAGTTAGGGGTGCGGCTTCTATTAAAGCAGTGGCCTCAAATATGATTTTTACGGTAGTTTTTAATTACTTGACACATTCATTTTCTTTAATTATAACAAAATATTGTTTACCTGCACATGTCACAAATTTCAACATTGTAGTGTGTTGAGAGAAATGAGTCTGAAAACTGCTTGCCACAATCTTCACATCTTGGTCTATTCACATCTATGATGGGGGCTGCAGTAAAAAAAACAATGTTAAACATTTTTAGTGAGCATGAGATATATTCATTATTAAATTTTACAATCTTGAAAGACTTTATTCAGAACTTATCAGCCATACTCTCCACTATGAAAACACCTATAAATTCAAAACTATGCATATTTCAACAAGTAATTGTATCACATAGTCCATGTGAGTTCTCAAGTTTAAGAAATTTGAACATCAACAGAGCATGTCAGAGATATCACCAAATAAATAAATGTATATATGATGAATATATCTCAGAAACAACATTAATTGAATCAAAATGGTCACCAGTCGGCCATTTTGAACCTGGTCTGAAAAAAAAAAATGAATCAGGTTCCCATATTGTTTGTACCCAATTGAACAAAACGTTCAAACATGATAGAGATCCGGTTCTAGAATGGCAGAAATGGTGAATGTTTAAAATTTAAATGACCGCCAATAGGCCATCTTGAATTTGGTTGTGAAATAAATAAATGTGATGTATGATGTATATGTATGAACATGATCAGTCAAGACTTGTCAGAGATAAGACCACCAGTCGGCCATTTTGAATTTGATCTGCAACAAGGTCAAACGATGTCCAATCAGTGTTTGTAGTTTAAACTCCATGCAATATTCATGTATCAAAATTGATTGGAATAAGTCCTTAGGCAACTAGCTTTCAAAAGAAAAGATCAAAAAAGTTCTGCATGAGTGCATAGGTCAAAAGCGAGACCTGGAAAATTCCAATGTTGCCAGCGGCGATCGGTTGTGGATCGCGTCCTGGGATTAGATTCTTGGCAAGGAACCCAATTCGTGTCTTTAGCACAACTTGAATGTCCATGAAAGTGACACACCATTCGAGGAGGACAGGGCTCCTAGTTCAGCCCGACGCCAACCTGAGGCGAGGGCTAGTAGGAAGACTGTTTTCCACATCAAATATTTCAGTGGTGCTGATTGGAGAGGCTGCTTAGAGCAGACAACACAAACGACAAGTCTCAATTGGGTAGTTCTCTCATTTGGGGTGTAGGCCTCTGATTAAGCAGTAGGACAACCGACTAGCCTCGTCCCCAGAGAATTCTCAATGGTGGGTGACAAGGCTGACCTGTAGCCAACAATCGCTGAAAGTAAAGTCCATTTGTCAAACAAAAAGTTAGCTGCCTGGTCAACAAAGGGCACTAACTTTGCACATATACATGTACATAAAACCCACCCCTTACAGTGCACTCAGTTTGCACATCACATAAAAACCCACCCCTGGCAGGGCACTCAGTTTGCACATCACATAAAAACCCACCCCTTACAATGCACTCAGTTTGCACATACACATAAAAACCCACCCTTGGAAGTGCACTCAGTTTGCACATACACATAAAAACCCACCCCTTACAGTGCACTCAGTTTGCACATACACATAAAAACCCACCCCTTACAGTGCACTCAGTTTGCACATACACATAAAAACCCACCCCTTACAGTGCACTCAGTTTGCATATACACATAAAAACCCACCCTTGGCAGTGCACTCAGTTTGCACATCACATAAAACCCACCCTTGGAAGTGCACTCAGTTGGCACATACACATAAAAACCCACCCCTTACAGTGCACTCAGTTTGCACATACACATAAAAACCCACCCTTGGCAGTGCACTCAGTTTGCATATACACATAAAAACCTACCCTTGGCAGTGCACTCAGTTTGCACATACACATAAAAACCCACCCTTGGCAGTGCACTCAGTTTGCATATACACATAAAAACCCACCCCTGGCAGGGCACTAGCTTTGCACATACACATAAAATCCACTCCTGGCAGTGCACTCAATTTGCACATACACATAAAAACCCACCCTTGGCAGTGCACTCAGTTTGCACATACACATAAAAACCCACCCCTGGCAGTGCATTCAGTTTGCACATCACATAAAAACCCACCCTTGGCAGTGCACTCAGTTTGCACATACACATAAAAACCCACCCTTGGCAGTGCACTCAGTTTGTATATACACATAAAAACCCACCCCTGGCAGGGCACTAGCTTTGCACATACACATAAAATCCACTCCTGGCAGTGCACTCAATTTGCACATACACATAAAAACCCACCCCTGGCAGAGCACTAGCTTTGCACATACACATAAAATCCACTCCTGGCAGTGCACTCAATTTGCACATACACATAAAAACCCACCCTTGGCAGTGCACTCAGTTTGCACATACACATAAAAACCCACCCCTTACAGTGCACTCAGTTTGCACATACACATAAAAACCCACCCCTTACAGTGCACTCAGTTTGCATATACACATAAAAACCCACCCTTGGCAGTGCACTCAGTTTGCACATCACATAAAACCCACCTTTGGCAGTGCACTCAGTTTGCACATCACATAAAAACCCACCCTTGGCAGTGCACTCAGTTTGCACATCACATAAAAACCCACCCTTGGCAGTGCACTCAGTTTGCACATCACATAAAAACCCACCCCTGGCAGTGCACTCAGTTTGCACATCACATAAAACCCACCCCTTACAATGCACTCAGTTTGTACATACACATAAAAACCCACCCTTGGCAGTGCACTCAGTTTGCACATACACATAAAAACCCACCCTTGGCAGTGCACTCAGTTTGCATATACACATAAAACCCACTCCTGGCAGGCCACTTAGGTCTGTATAAAGTCCCCATGCTGGGAGATTGGTATACCTGGTTCATGTACAATGTTGATTTTATTATCCTCATCTTCCTGATCTTCTTCTAAAAGAAAACCACCTCCAGTATCTAAAACTTGACCTGATGACCTAGTGACTGAAGAGACTTCAGCCTTACCATCTCTGGAACAAAAAAAGACATTATTATGTCAGTTGGCATTTTCATATAAAAATGATCACATAAGGTAAAAGCCTACTCATCAATCAATATACTAGTAAATACCTAGATTTACACGTAAAACTTCTTGAACTTCACCCTGTGACATGCCCTTGTGCAATGACATGACAAGTACTTGTTTTGCCACATATGTTAATGGCTATAAAAAAGTAGGTTAGGTAAGGTTAATTTTATTTGTTCATTTTATTTTAATCCCAATGAAACACCGCTAGGTTATTTATGATGATGGAGAACATTGCATTTGTTTTCTAGAAGTAACAAATGTACAACATTTTTTTAGATACATGTATATTCTTGCCATAGAAAATATCCCTCAATTTTGTACATACATTTTCTCTGAACTAAAAATGGTGACTTTTTTTATTATTTTCTTCATTTTTACCAAAAGACTAAAGAAATTACATTTTTACTTTTTAGTAGCGTTCTACCTTAAAATTACACTCTGAGAGATCCATGGAGCTTTATTTGAGTCTTGGAAATATTATATGAAAATACTAAATATAATACACCATCTTTCATTCATTCACCGTCTGATTGCTAAAGACCATTTTAGACACTAGCGCTTTTGACTGATGTTTTTATTTTCAAATATAGATTGTTAAATAAGAGACGAATTGATTGCGTGACAACCAAATTTTACCTCACTCGGTACTAGAATTATGATCAAAAGAATGATTATTTTTTAATTCATATGAATACACACACACATGATCACTCCTGACAACTGTCATGAAAGAACAGCTTTATTTTAACAATAGAATATTAACACTAGAATATTAAAACCATGTCATTTATTCGCCAAAATCAATTCCAACAGATCGTACTTCGACATCAATATTTCACTTCTGCATTGCGTTACTAGTTTTCAAGAATTTTAGAAGAATTGCATTGTACAACACAGCATTTTGATTGGTTAATAACAGACTTGACCCATTAGGTCAAAGGACGTTGATGTTGGTCAAATGCAAATACATCATCATGGCGGAAAGTGCTTTTTATTGAGAGTTTGCGTACAATCCAACACAACACATTCGTCAGTGGATATAAAGATGAAGATTTTGACTTTGACTGTGTTTCAACAGACTCTAATATTTTTAATCTGGTAAATTCAGGTGGTACGTAATTAATATTGTCATAAAATGTGCATATTTGTTGTGACAATTTCTGTTTCTTCATTCAAGTTGTAAAAGTCAATGACGATGCACCTAATTTTGTAATTTTATTTTCCCTCAAAAACGTAATATCCCCCTCAATCTGTCACTTTTGTCACCATTTGCACTCTTTTCCAAGAGGGTGGGGGTGAAGTTCACGTATATGTCACAGTGACTGATGATGTGATGGAGCTTTTCGAACCAAGGTTGTGATCTCTGGCTGTAATCACTGGAGAAGTACAAATCAACAAACATTTAAATTTCCAGGAAACTCTACTCATCAATAAAGATCTATTTATTATTTATATTTACCCTGGTCGTCATTGCTTAATATACACAATGTGAATCAGGTGAATGTAAACAAAGCAATAAAAAGCAATAATAATACTCGTATTTTACTAGCACATTGTACCTTCTCATAGGTTTTCCTTTGGAGTACGGTTGACTTGCTAGTCGTGCTTGTCGTAGAAGAAGAGCACGCTGCCGATTTCGCTCGATCTTCGCTCGTTGTGCATCTGACAATTTAGACTTGCTGGGTGTATCATCAGTGTCGTCAATGTGGTCTAGAGTATTAAAAACAAAACAATGCGACTCGTTATAACAGGTGTTTGATCTTAAAACGTGTATTTTTGAAATAAAAACATCGAACGGGGAATCGCATTTAGCCCTTTATCGCATGGCTTTGATTGGGACCTTCTTTGAATAAGTCGACTTCATTGAAAAACTCCCGAAACCGAAAACACTGGACCTGGTTTTCTCACCAACATTCTCTGTTACGGACGCAGCCATATTTAATGATGCTATAGCTAGTATCGTATTCGGGTTCGCATATTCGTATTCGTGACAATTGTGTGTTTCGTTTCGTTTCGGGTTTACATCCCAATATCCTGAATGCAATTATATAACTTGCGTGCTCATTTGTAATCCCAAGTTTTCGGGGTATTTAAAGAGAAAAGACAGTATGTTTTGCAATCAATCAATCAATATTTATATCAGTGTAATATCTTAAGGTAGAAGCCTAGTCATAATTTTTGACAAAATTGGTCATAAATCGCATGACAATCTTCATTAGTTTATTATGTACAATCATGGGGTTTATAGTTCCATGGTACAATCATGGAGCTAATGTCTCATGGTACAATGACATAGCATTATATTGTGTGTTACAGTTATG